CTCTCCCCTCTGAAACCTTACTCCCTCACCTCTCCCCATCCTTCACCAAACCTCTCCCCTCTGAAAGCTTACTCCCTCACCTCTCCCCATCCTTCACCTAACCTCTCCCCTCTGAAACCTTACTCCCTCACCTCTCCCCCTCCTTCACCTAACCTCTCCCCTCTGAAACCTTACTCCCTAACCAACACTTTTCTTTCTGTTACCTTACTCCCTTCACCTCCTCCCCTCCCGTACCTGGCGGCCAGCCTCGGAGTTGTGCAGGATCATGGTTTCCCGAGCTTCCTTCTCTCCTGGGAGGTCGGGGCTCGAAGGTTTCTCGGTCGAGTGGATGAACTTCCTGCTGAACGCCACGCCGTACTGGATGTCGTCGGAACAGCCTCCCCAATGCCAGCCCTCATCGGCGGAGCCGCCGCTCTGTAGGCTCCTGTCACAGGAGCACTCGGTCAGGTTCCCGGCGCTACAGGCTCGGGTCACCGAGTAAACCAGTCCCGCCGCCATCACCGCCTGGATGAAGGCACTTTCCTTCGTACCTGAGGAAGACAAAAAGGACCCGGTAGGAACAAGGCCATCTCCAGGCCACGGTGACCCCAAGTTCAGCCGGTTGCGACCCCCACCAAAAATCTTGGAACCAATTGGCGGGAGTTTGGGCGTCCATTTCCGCGCAACAGGCGCGAATAAACTCAGCGGAGCGGAGACTTATTACAATATACGTGTCGGGTGAGCAGGTTACTATGTTTTCCTGAATGAATATTTAACAAATGATAAATTCTTATCGGTTTGTTTGATGGCTCTGGTTTACATTTTGAAAGGTTTAAGAGAACAAGAGGGCGGCATCTACTTAAAGGAGCTTGACTTAGCCTAACAGATCTTCATTTCCATTTCGCTGAAATATGGTCGGGTGACTTCCTGTCTCAACTCTGCACACAATGCTGGAGAATGATACGGATCAAACACTTCACATGAATTCATTATTCTCTTTTCCCCAGCTTCGGGCTGTGCACTGAACCACAAATGCGGCCTTTCAGAAGATTAGGAGCGACATGAGCAGCAGCTTTTTTTCTCCCCCCTCTGGATGTAACCTAGCGACTTCGTAAAACAGTTCGAGCGATTTGTTGTGTATTTGAATAAACCTCGATTGCCTTACACGCCACGCTTCTCAACAATAATCGCAATTCATTACACTTTGTGCCAGTTATTGACAATCGATCGCAATACTTTATACTAAAATAAGTCATTAATAAAATTTAAATTTTAATTAGGTAATTGCATTTTGTAATAAAATATAAATTAAACATGAATAAAACATTAATTTATATAACGTTTCGATGTCTGTTGAATAATGTATTTAGGTTTATGGTTTAAAATTGTAATTTTTTTGCTGTTGTGATGCTGCTAATTTTCATTTAAATATTATCTTTAACTTTCTTCATATCTTTATATTTTTTCATGTTCTAAAACGTTTACCATCAAAATACGGACACTTGATCAGGGTTAAAATGCTGTTGAGAAAGTTAACAGAAACCACATGGAGACCTTCTTGATCAAGCTACAGTAATACCGCAACCTATAGCAGCTGTTCGCTATGCAGAATTACTTATTTGATGTTTCACGAGGCAGTTAATAGATTACCCTGAGTATCGTTAAATACAATTACGACCAAGGTTTGATTTAAAACTAAAGGAAGTACTTAGCAGCTGCTTTATGCAATATTACAACGACTGTATGGAATTTCTAAACGATAAGAGAAATATTGCATTTTCACTTTTGTAAACAGTAGTTCCACGTGGTTTGTTTCCACTTAATAATCAAAACCAACGATTTCTTGCTGTTCCACTTAACTGTCTGAAATATTGAATACGGATCTCAAATTCAGGTGTAAAGACCAAGTATATGTTTGTACGGTTGACTCACCACTGGTTAGCTCATAGCCAAAGACAGAGTAATCATTTGTAATTGAGCAGTTCCACCTCTCGTGTTTAAACTGATTCTGGCATTCATAACTACCAATGCGTGCTCCTTCTTTAATGGTCGGCAAAAGATTGGGCTTTCTTTTACATAGATCTTTCTGTTTGTTTGAAAGTGGCAAACCTAGACACCCCATCTTCTCGGTAACTCCACTGGCCGTGGATCCTAACCACCTGTTGTGAGTATATAGAAATGCACATCACTATCAAATAAACAATGTATCACAAACAAACACAAAACCCGACTCTTTCAATGATCAAGTTTACTTACATCCAATTTCCTTGACAGTAGTAGGGAAAGCGTATTAGGATTACTGCGAATAACATACAACACCGAAATAATCCAAAAGAAGCCCCTTTCTCCATGACAGAATCATTTATTATCTTGTGCCAAGCGAAAGTGTCACGGTTGTTAGTGTAATTGAGAATCGGCCCAGATTGTTGCAAATGTAAGGGGATTATCCTTCCGACTTGCCTCACCATTCATGCTGTAATCCTGTGAAGGCTTTTTACAAAATAGGATGCGGAGACAGAGTGTGAAATAGATTGAGAATAATAAATTCACAAAGAGATAACATTTGGGGCAAATCTTTGTGAAAGGACGAATTCGATTCGGCGTTGTGTTGCCTCTGTCTGCCAATTCTGTAGTTCCCGCCCACGTACACTTACCATTGGATAAAGGCGAAATTACAGTGAAATAGACCACAATGGCGATTGGTCGGTTATCACCTTCACAAGTGGTGTTTGATGGAGCTGAGCACTGAAAGTTCATTTAACCACGAGGGAGCTTCAGTTATGATGCGGGTGGTAGTAGACATCATCATATCTCCAGTTCAATTACAGTTGGGGTCATTGGTAACTCTCCTAAATTGTGAAATGGATCTCACGCTACTTAACACGCTCCTGAGATACACACCGCACTTTTCCTCGAAGAATCTAATTATTGGAAGCCACATTCTGTCTACCTCGACAATTATTTTAGTGAATAATAATCCTGTGCCAACAGTCTATACAGTTCCAGTTTGAAAAAGGGGAACTATCAGTCACTTAAAAGTCTATCAAAATGATGAATGAGAGCATTTAATGTAAAACAACTCTCCCCAAACATTGTACAACGTCTAGATGAAAGTGATATGCAGAAAACTATTTTAGGAAAATTGCTCCATTCGTTTTTAAATAGTAGGACTGGAATTTGGTCTGAATGGGTTTGGATACAATCCAGGGAGTATGTTCTAAACGTTAGGTTGACTTGGGAACATTCTTTTTAACCCCGTCAGCGTAGAATGTTACCTCGGCAGTTAAATATCTCGCGTGTATCGTTGTCTTATGCAATTGGAAATATGTTTTATAAATATTGAGAGAATCAACATCTGGAAAGTTTAGATTAATGCGTTTGCATTTTACATCTACATTTCCATTCTACTAAACTTCCGAATTTAATGTGATCTAAAATGTCGTGTTAACAAATCTGCCCGGGATTTGTGAAATGTAATAGATTGATTTCTTCAAGGAGGAAATGAAATTGTATTTGGTATATTTGCTTGCCAATATCAGTTTTGTTAATGCATCCGCGTAGTCACTTAAACATTAACACTGTTTTTCGTGTTAATGAAGTGATTGCTGCCTTCGAAAACCTAAGCTAACATTTGAATATCGATTCTGAAAATGTGTTGTTTAAACTACGAAGAAAGTTCGATTGAACGATGTTAGTAGCTATCAAATTTGTTAGTGTTAGCTCGGTTAAGCTGTTAGTGCAACATTGTTTTCAATGATATTATTAATCAATTTGTACTGTTTGCAATGGCATCGAACGTTTGAAAAACAGTTGGACTTGAAACTGTAAACATAATAATCTTTCAGGAGACAAAAGGAATAACAACAACTAACCCTTCAGCACCCACCTCTTTCCACTTTCTGGCGGAAAGGTGCCGCCGTCGCATCTTTAGCCAATAAGTAGTTCCAAGTTTGATACAGTTTATTTGTAGATCTTAGGGAAACAGAAGTTTGATTAGATATTTGTGTAAACGACTTACGACTTTTAATCCAAGTTTCCTTTCGGTGATGTTTCGGCCATCTGTTTCTGTGATATAACAGGTGGTTCCAGGATTTCTTGACAAATCTTTCCACAGCGCAACGTCTAATAAATTGCTTAGTGAAACGAGGGGAAGCGCCTAGTCAGCCTGAAGCGTCTTGTGAAAGTGACTCCGTTACAACTTAGTATGCGAGCTTATATTTTTATAAAGCACGTTATCGTCGTTGGGAGTACAGAATTTAAAACAAAAACAGTTGAACATCCTTCTTCCATGTTACTTAACGTTCTTTATTTGCTTTTAACTATTTACATCATGTATTTTCTCTCCTAACATTGGGAACCAGGAAGTAACAATTTGGAGATTCCTGTTCCTTTCCAATTAATTACATTTGAGAAGACAGAAATATGTCTTGATGCAAGCGTACAGATACTGCAGTTAGCTGATTCTACAAACACATTAGTTTGACGCGTGAATGGTTGGCCAGGGATAACAGTCTTCCATATCTGATAGACTGTCCCCAAGCAGCAGTAGATTTGCTTCCAAAACGTTCAGTTCTTCTCGATAAAAGCTTTTAATTACTGAGCTACTTTGAAAGTACCAGAAGTCATAAGCGGAGCGCAACACTCGTGTATTACAAGTGAACGCTTAAAATTAATTTAATCTGAAATAAATTCGAAAAAATGACGGGGGGAGGGGAGATGAGGAAGAGAGGTCAGAATGGTGTTTGAAAACAGTGAAGCTAATAATTTCTCAAATGTATTTATATCGGATGGAAAGTTCATCAATTGTATTTTAACGCAATTTTAGTTCAAGATTCTACTGTAGGCGTTATTGGCAATGTAACTTAATCAGCCTCTTAAGAACTAGCCGATTTGATTAACTTAAAAAAAACCTATAGTGCACAGTCATCGAACAGTATATGGTATTCTCAAAAAAATACTGTTTGATTTCGCCATAAGCAAAAGCTACAATCGATCAGTTATACAGATAAAGTAGACTTTTTACCAGATTTTCAGATTTTATTATATATACATTATATTAAATGTATATATACATATTATATATACATTTACGCCTTGAATATCACATCACAATTAAAACAGGCACTCGAACTATACACGTAAGAAAGTCTCATTGTAATTTTATGGCATCTAAATTTAATTATTTATACAATTTAGGTTTATAATAACCTCGGATGAGCTAACGTACAAAACTGTGGTAGATTTGGGTGCACGTTCTTGTAGATAACCCTTTAACAAATTACTCCAATTAGCGTGAATAAATTTAAAAACAAACAAAGACAAATATGAGCATATTGGACTTTAACTAAGTCCAATTGATCATCCACGCCGTTTTCTCGTAAATCTGGATCTTGGTATTTCAGACCAATGGAAACTGAAATCTTCAGTAGTGTCATTCTTTGAGCTGCAATTCTAAATTCCAAAGAACTGCAGTTCTATTTTCAGAGCATTTTAAGCACGTACTGGGTTCGTCCAAATGACTTCAAATGCCAGCTCTGGAATAGTACTGTAGTACTTATTAGTCATAAAGTATTATCCAAACTTTAGGTTTATAATCCTATGTATTGAGAACACGAAAGAGTTTACTTCTTTGCTGCTCAGATATAAATAGTGGGGTTAAGAAGCACATCTTATGGCAGAAGTACATTTCGCTGTTTGTAAAATAGGTTGTTATCCATTCTACTGAAAAAAAATGTAGATTTCTCACTTCTAGACGACTGCATTTCAAGGAATGTCATTTGCGTGTGGATACTTCTGAACAAGCTGTTCAGAAATGTTGACTCACATCTGGGCCAGATGGGACCTGAACCCAGGTCCTTTCCAAGAGCTTTATCATCTATTGTATATTTGTAAATTACTTTGCAGTTGATATCAATTTTAATTGTTTTAAAATGTCGCGTAGTGGGCCTACTGTCGTTTCTTATTTGGGAATATTTAGCAGTAACAGATTAGGTTCTCTATTTGGACGAAGAACGTTAGCAGCAGTAAGTCGTTTGGTAAGGTTATTCTGCTTTAAATTCGCGAAAAACTGCCACCCCTACTCCGGAAACGATTATGTGAGCCAAAAATTCGATTTTAAGACAAAATACGCTGCGATAACTGCCCGAGCCTTCCAGCTGAATCTATTGTTTGTAACCAGTCCCTGTTAAATAATTATGAAAACCACGGTATATTTTTAGAGCAAGTTGCTAACACGTCGCTGCCCGGAGTGTAGATTTCACTGACAGGGGCACATCGAATGGCGTGCAGTCCCTGTGGCGTCACTCCAAACCAGCCGTATGTCAATCTATTTAACACCGTTTCCATCGCGAGGTGAATTGTTTTCAGTCACATTCGGAAAGTTTTGTTTCCGTCCAGTGGTGTGACTTAATCTATATCTTCAACAAGAACTGGATCTTTCGGAAACTTTTGCGTGAGTGAATTTCTTTTCTGTCACTCGAATTCAGTGGGCACAGTTTCACAAGTTTTTTGTCATGTGTCAATTAATTTCATTTGCCATGTTGGTTATTTTGCAAAAATTAACCATTTTTATTGCTATGAACTCAAAATTATAGGTGAACGTGTTTGAAGATTTAGCACCAAAAAGCGCTATCTTAAAAATGTTTCTTAAAGTATAAGAACCTTTTCTAATAAATGACCTGATTGTCATATATTTTATGTAGCAATTACGATATCTGTAAGCAGTGTAAAAGGTTTAAAAAAGGGTGGAATTTGTGTATTGAGTCTAAATTTAATTTTGTCTATGAAACGGATTGTACTAAACATATAATATGACAATTTGTTCAGGAAAATACTAAAAAAAAGTCACTTACTTCATATGGTTATGTTCGTCTTGATGCAATTCTAAAATTGTGCTTCATAAACTCCAAACCTCATGTGAAATCTAACTACAAAGCTGATATTAATTCCCTCTTTACCATGCCACACTGACTTCCATGACATGTTAGTTGATTTTGCTAATGGTTCTTTGTGCTCATGTGCCAACCCATCTCTGTTAAAGCAAGCCTCCCCTCACAAAATCAACCACACTATGTTTGCACACTAACACTTCATCTCCAACCTGTGTTCTACCAAGTAAGTAATCTCCTAAATACATGGTGTTCCCATCCCCTTCTGAAATTTCATGTTTGAATCCCTGCAACAGACTTCTGCCCAGTTCCAAAATTGTTTTTCTTTATATCAAAGTACAAATTATATTCCACATGTCTGGAAAAGGTAAGATAATTCTCCTCATCCTTCTCGACCTTTCTGCAGTCTTTGACACAGTTAACTGCAACATCCTCCTCCAACATCTCCACCATTGTTCAGCTGGAACTGCTCTCACTTGGCTCTGTTCTTGTTTATCTAGTCATAGCCACAAAACCCCCTGCTATAATTTCTCCTTGCACACTTTTACCATTATCTTTATGACCCACCAAGATCAATCTTTTGCCCACTCCCATTTCTCACCTACATGCTGTCTCTTAATAACATTGTACAAAATACTGTTATTGCTCACATGTTTACCATATCCAGTTCTATCTACTCATCACCCCTCCTGACTTCTCCACTGTCTATAAATGATTGAG